GAATACGGCGAGTAATGAACTATCAACCACGTCGCGAAGTGAGCCCGATGGCTCGAATACATCCGCGAACATACATAGCTAGAATAGCACAACAAGCCGTGTGGGCTGCGATACCTAGGCAGTAACGATGCTCTCTACGCGAATCCGCGGCGTTGTCTGTGGATGATCCTGTCAGTGTCGTTGAGACACTAGAAGGGGCTGCTCTTATTGCAAGAGACGCAGTCTATCCCTGGGGTACATTAATCAAGTCGAAGCACTTTGGAAGTTACTCTTGTAGTGAGCTTTTCTGTGTATGGTAAAATATTCAAAAGATCCAGACGCCCAGGTTTCACCTAGGCCGCGTGCAGACTATGACTCGAATTGTTCATAGTGCACGAAATGCCGTACAAAGCTCCTTGAACGTATCTAGTGCATATGCATCGGCATTCCTCAATATCGCCGTGGGTGAGAGACGGCGACGGATGACGTAACCATTCGGAACTCGACGCGGAAATCTCTCGCCGCCGCACTTCTAGAAGACTCACCCCGACCACGAAACTCACCACCGCATCGCGTATCATAATCATCATCCCATACACCTCCTAATACCTCAATAATGCGATCTATACGTTCATCTGCAGCGCGCAGAATCCGCGCATCCCTCACCGAAACCACCACTACTTCGCCATTCCGCACGCGACCAAGCGCAACACCGTGCATGCTCTGCGCACATCGTATACCGCCCCAGACGATATCACGTCGATTCCAGTCTTCATCTTCTAGCTCGAATAAAGTCGAAAAGCCATTCGAGACACAGCAATCCTCCACAGCGCAATCGTCCCAAGTTCCGCAAACACACTACTCCTTCTTCCCCAACTCCTTGCCATCCGGCCCGCCGCCAAACGGCCCCTTCGCCATCGACCTCTCCGCTCTCAAGAAGGAATTCCTCCAACTACAAGCCCGCGCCCACCCCGATCTACACCCACAAGCCGACAAGAAGCGCGCCGAAGCCCTCTCATCACGCATCAACGAGGCCTACAAAACACTCCAGAACCCGCTTCTAAGAGCACAATACCTGCTATCCTTGCGCGGAATAGAGGTAGCAGAAGACGAGACAGCGAAAGTAGAAGACCCGGAGCTGTTGATGGAGGTCTTGGACGCCAGAGAGAGCATAGAAGAGGCAGAAAGCGAAGAAGATCTGGTGGAGATGCGGGAGAGGAATGAAGAGAGGATAGCGGAGAGTACGGAGATTATTGACAAGGCGTTTAAGAGGGACGATTTAGAGGCTGCGAAGAGCGAGGCGGTCAAGTTGAGGTATTGGGTCAATATCAAAGAGAGCATTGAGAATTGGGAGAAGGGGGCGCCGGTTGTGCTGCAACATTAGATGGTGTGGTGGGAGGTTGGAAGGCTCTTGTACGATACTACGACTCGAAATGGCGAAGGAATACAGCCATCCATCGGCTGTTCATCTCTTCTAAACAGGAACAGTGATAGGGTTCATAACCCCGGCCCCGCCGTCAACCCTCAACTCAGCACCCGTAATATAACTACTAAACCCACTCGCCAGGAACCCCACCGTCCGACCCACCTCCTCCGGCCTACCCGCCCTCTCCAGCCCAATCGTCCTCTTCTGGCTCTCCTCTCCCTGCAGCGCAGCAGGCGGAAACTGGCCCTGCGCCATCTCCTTGACACCGCAGTCCTTCAAATCAACACCAACATCAATCTGCCCAGCTGTAATAGCGTTGATACGCACACCCGTCCCCTTGAGCACCAAAACCCCCGAGCGCACCACACCAAGCGCAGCATGCGACGCCATAGTAAAAGCCGGAGCCCAGCACCCACCATACGTCCCCGCAACACTAGTCACAACAATAATACTCCCATACGGAACATCCTTCGGCGCAGCATTAGGATAACTCCCTTTCGGCGTCGTCTTCTGCATAGCAGCCGGCGCGTACTTGAGCGCAAAGAAAGCCGGCATCGCATTCGTGTCGAACGCGGCGTACAGATCTTTTGGACCTGTCTGGTTGATGGATGGTGGACCGAGTAGACCGGTAGAAGACGTCCAGACGTCGAGGCGGCCCCAGGAGTTCAGCACGTCGTCGATGAGGGCGAGGGTGTCTTCTTCGGAGTTGATCTTGTAGGGGTAGCCGATTACTTTTGTGTTGGGGTATTGTGCATTTATTGTGTCGGCGAGTTCGGCGTAGGGTTCGGAGGGGAGGGAGGAGCAGGCGTATATGCATGCTGCGCCGTGGGCTGGTGGGGACTATTAGCAGGGAGCTGTGAGTGTGGCTGAAGGGGTGTGAGGTACCGGCGAGTTCAGCGACGATTGCTTTTCCTACGGGTTGTGTTGCGCCTGTTACTACACAGACGAAGCCGTACTATATCAGAACGCAATGTTAGCCAATGTTGCGTTTCGTCTCCGAGGATGACGACAACTTACCAATTTCCCATCTGCTCTATACGGAGAAAAATGCTCCGAATCCGTGATGCCCGCATCTCTCACTCCACTTCCATTTGTGTTGTTGGCCATAGCTGCAAATGTCCACGGTCTTTGATATGAATTCGCAATGAACGAAGGACAACGTAAAAAAGAAGACGCGCAACAGCGCGTCTATAGGACATCACATCATTGTCAATTATTGATTGACAGCTGCTTGCTTGGGCAGAAGGTATTATGTCAGTGTACATATCCACGGGGCGCGGAGATGCGGAATAGGCGTACGATTGCTGGCTGGGTTGGCAGCTTATCGGCATCTTATCGGGCTGCATGGTGGCTTCCGCGGGGCTCTCGTGGGGCAGGGAAGGGCAGGGAAGGGTCTAGGTAGCTTCGTTTACGGACAGCTCCAATGAGTATGCGCATGATAGGGATGCAATTGTGAGCAAGATTTTAAGATGTGCATTTGTGAGCTTTGAAGCTCTGTTGTATAGCATTCACCACCCGATTCTGACAGCCAGTCACCATCATATCCGTACACCTCCCGCCAACGCCCTTCAAGATGCCTAAACCCCTGGTATCTGCCTCACAACGCCGCCAATGCCTGCTTCCCATGACACACTCTATGCTGTCTTCGCTTTATCATCTTCCTGGTTCTGCCTCAGCTTTTCCCTCGGTGGCAGCACGTCAGGTCCAAAGCTGAGCGGGAGCAATTCGCCCATCGTCCTCACAATCCACTTTCCTTCCTTGTTGAACATGAAGATGGGTGTCTCTAGCGCCAGAAACTCGCGCAAGAATTGTCTGCACATCCCGCACGGCGAGCAGAAGTCGTCGATGTCGGTCGTAACGCCAACAGCCTTGAAACTTCCGATGCGGTGGCCTGCGATGACTGCGGTACCCATGGCGACACGCTCAGCGCATGTTCCAACGGGGTAGGCCGCGTTTTCTACGTTTGCGCCGATTATAGTGTGGGCTGCCGATGTGTCGGTTGCGGAGGAGGTGGTCAGGAGGAGGGATGCGCCGACGCGGAAGAGGGAGTAGGGGCCTAATCAAGCAGTCTATTAGCACCAAACTTCAGTCCGATAATTGCCAATATCCTCTACCATCATGCGCTGCATCATAAAAGCCTGAAAAAACATACAGTAAGCCCTCGCCCTCGCATCAAAGCACTGCTCGCCCAAAACCTGCAGCTCCTGCGCCGAAACGCCATGGATCAACCCATCTTTCTCGGTCACAGCTTCACCAGGGCTGAACTTTGGTACGGCGGTTGTTGACATGGTGGGAAAAGGAAAGGAAGAGAAGAGAAGAGTGCGACGCGACGCGGGGAGCATTTGGGGAAACTGGATGACGCCAGCCGAGGTTTGCCAGTGGGGCACTGAGCTATGGCGACAAAGGAAGGTTCGGCCACCTCCGATGCATTACGGAAGACATAAACATCATACAATGTGCTGACTGCTGTCAGATAACAAATATGCCAACCTATGGCACGAGCGTTGTGGTGCTGCTGATGATAGCAAACCTCGTGTTGCGCCCCTACCCTGGCCCATACTCAGGACGCTGCAATTGTCTCCTCGAGCTCGGTCGGTTGCCCTCTGCCTCACAAACGATTACAACACGCCGCATACACGCTGAGCAACGATGCAGTACAACAACAAATAATGCCCAGGTACTCAGTTCTCAACACTCAGCCATGGCAAAAGGTAACAGGGGCGACATTTCCAGATGCGTTCTAGAACGTGTTCAAACCACTCCACTTTCTTTGTCTCATTCTCTTTGTTAACCGTCTTCTCGGGAAAACCTGTTGTCTCGTACCATAGGAAGCTTATATCCGCTCTATAATGGCTCTAACATCCAGCAAGCATAAGGAAACATTTCCGATCCTCTGAATACCCAAGTCATACGCCATCCGAAACGTCGCAACTCACGCCCAACTCCATTCCGTTAGAAGTGTAATTCCATCTCTATTTTCGACCTTTGCCCTCCTTGTACCAAGACTCTTCTTCAAGTCTCTTTGCATCTTCGGTCTGCTTCCTCTGGTCTTGTCGCTGCTTGTGCTCTTCTCGATCCGCAGCGCTAGCTTCACCTATGCAGTGCTTGCATTTACCGTTGTCATAGTAGTCAACGTTGTGTTGTGGGCATCGCGCTATATGCTTCCGACACCGGCCAGTCTTACCGCACCAACAGTGGTGCGTTACCTTCGAGGTGAGCGTGCGTACCATATTCAGAATTGAGAAATATTCAATAAGTTATCCAGTTGACTGCTAGTGTGGGCTGGTATTCTACTGTTGTCTTGCTGAACGAGGGAGCACTTCACCCGCATTAAGTATTGACTGGATAAGCTGCTGGGCATTGAGTGAAAAGCAGTGTGCTCACTGCTGTCGATAAGTGCTCATTCATCATCTGCCTCGCATACAGAAAGCCTTTCGGACTCAACTTGGTCACAGCAACTACTCTGTGAAAGTCACTGTCCCGACATAATCGGCTTTCACACAACGTTCACGAAGACCTTTATATCGCCAAACTCAGCTATACCATTGTCTCCATCTGTCAGCTAGATCCAAGCAGACTCTCAATTCGAACAACTATGTCGGATAGTATTAAGTCACCTAGGGTCGTGGCTGAGCATGTTGAGCCTGCACCAGAGGCTGATAATGATGCGGCTTCCATCACGAGCTCTGAAAACTCGACCACTTCGACTGAGGAGTTCGAACACGAGCCCTTTGAGACCTTCCAGCTCAAGGCGGTGGAGCTATGCGAAAAGCAGTGGCCGCATCTCTCCAAGGACGCCTTCACAGTCACACGTATGGATGGAGGCTCCTATAACCGCGTCCTTGGCGTTCGAGTTGACGGCTCTTGGAGGCAGACGAGCTGGCTAAAGCGTCAAGCACAAATGTTTCTTCGCACGGTTTGCCCGGGTGTAATCCGCAAGACAGAAATCCGAGATTACGTTCTGCGTATACCACGCCAGGAGCATGCGTGGGTTGAACATGAAGTTTCTATCCTCAAGTTTCTCGCAGCGACAAATCTTCCGGTACCTAGGATTAAAATGTTTAGCCTCTCAGCAGAGAACCCACTCGGTAGCCCATACATGATCCAGCCACGTCTACCGGGGAAGCCAGTAACTGAGGTCTATCTTGAGTTGAACACACAACAACGTGTTTCATTCGCTAGAGATCTGGGTCGTGCGCTGAAGCAGATGGGCGAGATCCAATCCCCCTTTCCCGGCACACTGAATCCTGACAGCATACTCGCTGGATCATCAGACACCCAGCTGCTCCGCTTACAATGCCCGCCACGGAACGCATTTCGCCAATCTGAAGACGTCTCTGAACCATCTACGCCTCAAACTGTTTTCGAATTCTTCATGTCGCAATTCGCTCGTCAACGCGCATACGATCTTACCCTCCACCGCGACTATCTGAACCCATGGAAACCCTTTGAAGCTATCATCCGACATCTCCACACAATGGGTCACCTGAACCACAACATTTACGCACTAACACACATGGACCTGGAGCCCCGAAACATGCTTCTCCACGTCGTATCACCCACCACTGCCTCGCTGTCCGCAATCCTCGACTGGGATGAGACCGTCTTCGCCCCGGCTTTCACAAATTGCCGACCGCCATTCTGGCTCTGGGATCGTGAAGTCGATGAAGACGATGACGATGACGATGACATGGATGAGGCTGATGCTCATGTTACACCCAGCGATGCTGATCGCGCGGCTGTGAAAAAGGCATTTGAGGAAGGTGTTGGTGAGGATTATTGCAAGTGGGCCTACATGAAGGAGTATAGGCTTGCTCGAGGCATCGCGAAGTTGGCTATCACGGGCTTCTTCTCTAACATGGACTATGATGTCGCCGAGAAGATTATCAAGGAGTGGAACGAGATGTTCCCGCATTTGAAGGTGTGTGGAATATCTGATTTTGAGGAAGATGAAGACTAGAGTTGAGAAGTTGGGCGATATTGTCGCAATAATGGTATAAGGAAAGTTGCAAGAACTACTTTAATGACATACCACGTTGGTACTACCTGGCTGTTCTGGTAACTTTGAAACACATATCCTTCTTCTCTTGCCGTACCATTGCAAGTTTCCACCTGCAACTCATTCTAATTTATTTGCTGTCTGTTAACATTATAGATTTCGCCGATGTGGGCTATGATGTTAGTATATCTGAGTAGCATCACCATCCTCTCCAACTTGTACTGCCATATCGAATTCTCCTTTTCGCAAACACATGATGCACTTGATGCGTTGCAGATCAACCGTAGACCCACTGGATATGCTTTCTATAGTGAACAGCTTCAGTTCTGAAAACAGCTAAACACACGACCATCCTTTGTCGCACATATCCTACATGGATCCCCCTTATTAATCCGCAAATCCTTTGGCAGATCAAAAGTTACTCCATCGCTGATCCTGAAACAACGAGGGGTCATCACATGGATGTAGACATTCCACCACCCAAAAGCCCCATCTAGCATCTCTAGACAAGCCACATCCACTATTGATCACAACCTACGCGCATCTCCGCCGTCCATCACAATCGCAGATCAAACACCTGACCAAAAGCCATCGTATCTGATGCACATCAAGGTTGCGAGCGGCTCGATGCAAGTCCGCCGCTAGCTTAGCCGCAACACTAAAGTTGGGGTAGATCTGGGGAAGCGCGTGTGGCGCTGCGGAGTGTCTCCGGCTGGATATCGATGGCAGTTACAGTTGGGAGACGGCCCGCACGCTGGTTGGTCGCTTAAAGACATGCTGGGAAAATGGCGCACAAGTGGAGAGGGCCTATGCTAGAGCTGGACTATGAGCTATATTCGTTCTCGGTGGAATGGGTCCGATAGACACGAAGATGGAGATTGAAGACAGGTGGAATGCAAGAGGAAGCACGGCAAGTGGTGATGTAGACAAAGTGATAGTATCATAATTCATAGATGATGGATATATACAATGCTGCGCTATCAAGCGAAAATCAAACAGCTAGTCGGGTATTTACAAGTGTGGTAGGGAATCTCTCATAAGTCTTCATAAACTCCATGAAGTAGATGCTTAGACAACCGTCTTCTCAGGGTACTCAGTGTAGGTAGCGCTCCTCTTGCGGGAAGCATCAGCCTCGATATCGGTAAGGCTGGCACGGCGGTTGTCGGCATGCATGTCCTGGACGTCCTGGAAGGAGATGGAAGGAACGAAGCCGGGAGACTTCCAGGCCTGGGAGCACTTGCCGTAGAGCTCGTCGACCTGCTCGAGGGAAAGACCCTTGGTCTCGTAGATCATGGCCCAGACGAAGAAGATGCAGATGAAGCAGCATCCGCCCCAGACGAAGAAGACCTTGGCGCCCATGTTGGCGTTGCCGGGTCCGTCGTTGACCATGTAGGGGGTGGCGTATCCGATGGCAAAGTTGAGGAGCCAGTTGGATGCAGTTGTCATGGAGAGCGACTTGGCGCGGACCTTGAGAGGGAAGATCTCACCAGTCACGACCCAGGCGACAGGTCCCCATGAGCAGGCGAAGAAGAAGATGTAGATGCAGACGAATGCGATCAAGGCTTGCTGGGCAGCCTGGTTGTCAATACCAGCAACGGTACCGGTAATGGCAACAATGAATTGGCTGCAGAAAGTCAGTATATGTCTCATTTGCACTTCGTACATTCAGAACTTACCAGACAGCCATGCCGACGGCACCGAAGAGGAGAAGGTTGCGGCGACCCCACTTCTCGACAAGGTAGAGACCGGGGAAGGTGGAGGCGACGTTAACGCAGGAAGTAATCATGGTGACGACGAAGGGGTTGCTGATGCCCGAGTTCTGGAAGAAGGATGTTCCGTAGTAGAAGATGAAGTTGACACCAGTGAGTTGCTGGAGAGACTGGAGGGCGCAACCAGTGAAAAGACGCTTGCCCAAGTTACCACGGAAGCAGTCGAGGTAGGTGGCCTTGCCAAGAGACATCTCATACTCGTGGTTGGCAGTGATCTCAGCCAACTCCTCAACAAGAGCCGGGTCGTCAACGTTGAGGCGGCGAAGGGTAGAGAGAGACTTGGCAGCCTTTTCTGGGCGGCCCTTCTTGATGAACCAGCGAGGAGTCTCGGGAAGCCAGATGCAGCCGGTGAAGAGGATGATAGCCCAGGCGAATTGAACAGCGATAGGGATACGGTAGGAGCCAGTGTCGGTCCTGTCCTTTGTGGAGTTGTTGACGATAGCAGCAAGTAGAAGACCGATGGTGATAGCAAGTTGGTAGCAACCGACAATGGTACCACGGATCCACTTGGGAGCAGTCTCGGATTGGTAGAGCGGGATGGTGGCACTGATCATACCAACTCCGTAGCCAGCGAAGAAACGTCCAGCAACGAACATGGGGATGGCAGTGGCGACGGTCTGGAGAATGACACCAACACAGAAGACAATGTTGCTGACAACGAGACCGAGGCGGCGACCGAGGAAATCAGCAGTGGGTGCTGCGGTGAGAGCACCGAAGAAGGTACCGGCAGAGAGGATAGAGACGATCAAGGAGGTCTGCTCGGCGGTGACATCGAGCATGTTGTCCTTCTTGTTGACGTAGCCAGTGCTGAAAAGCTGGCGCCAGTGGTGCATTCCAAGAATACCACCGATGGTACCGGTATCATAACTATACTTGTTAGTAGAACTCTTGAGAAAGGATCAATCGTGCATACCCAAACAGAACACCACCAAAGGCAACGAACAGGCCGACCAAAATGGCGGGCGCGGTCGAGCCAGCTACGCCCTCAGGCTTCTTCAACATCAGACCCATGGTTGGCAACTGTCTGTGAAAGTAAAATGGGTGTGGAAGGAAGACTCAAGTCCAGAGAGATGGTTGAGTACTCGGATGAGGATGACTATCACTCCAAGGCGGGCTGCCCATCTTTAAGTACATTTGGGGAACTGTTCACCGAGCCTGGGGATCTCCATGGGCAGCTGTCTAGTCTGGAGACTGGAAGCATGGGGTCAGCGCGCTAGTCCCGCGGCTGGCCAGCAGGCTAGCGACAGTAGGTCCGAAGCGACTGGGGTAGCTTAGTGGGTGGTCTTAGCCACGATGGTGTTGGAGCTAGAGCTGACCAGACGCTGACCACTAGCACGTCGCTGGCCTGTGGATGCCATAGCGTTCAAATCATCGTGAGCCAATTCTAGTAGATTTGGAAATCATGGAGCCGAGATTCAGTTAGCGCAACGTTAACCAGCGGTCCCACGTTCGTGTTGCTGGAAAACGATGGCAAATATCGTCGGGTTACGTGACACGCATGGTCAGTCTGCTGGCACACGCACCCAACAGTGAGATGACAGTCGCGTGCCGGGGCGAAGACGGGGCGTAGGAGCAGCTAGCTGATAGGACACTAGATGGTAAGCGTCGCCTTTAGCCGTCATGACCTGTCAAGTCGGGTGCGTGTAAGCCATGAACCACTGACCTCATTCTGCGGGGATGCATCTTGGTATGCAGGCAGACACCGTTCATCGCCTCTGCTCGATAGACGTGGTTGCGGAGCAAACCATCAACTGATGTTCGTCTGCTGTTGATCGCCAGACGGGCACAGCACATTACTCAACGAATCCGTGATGTTTCGCTGGTCAATACGATCACCAATTGGCAACGCGTATGCAGACAAGCCTTTCCATGCGCGATTGCTTAGACGGACGGCATCCAACTGTTTGCAGTATGGTTGTAGAAGGATTCTGGAATATCGCGACTCCGGCGCTCGGTGTTGCTAACATTGGCCGAAGAGCTGGTACCAGCGGGTAGTCTGTGGGAAAGCAAGCGCATATCGAAGAGGTGGGGAGATGAGTAGCGTGCAGGATTTTGCTTCTGGCCGCGCCAAAGTCGCAGAAAGACCCCAGGGTAAACGGGGTGCATTAGTTCCCATGCCCTCCGTGAGGCTCAACAAGCATGCTAGAGCACGATAGCGTGGTCTCGGCCAACCAGATGGGGCGGCTACTGTAGCCTCGAACCATGCACCCAGCGCTTGGTCGAACTGTCGGGAGGATTTTCTTGGCCTAACCGATGTAGGGCTGGCAGTCCGGTAGTGTTTAGCTGCGCAATGCATCTGGAGGCAAAGATCTCGTATGCATGGAGTCTGGCAGCAACTCCGCTCAATAATCGGGGTCCACTCGAGACGTGTTCTTGGAACAGAACACGGCTGGTCATGTGGTCTGGATACCGAGATCCACCAAGGCGGCTCCGATATGGCGTGTCTAGAGAGAATCGCGGCACGGAGAGCTGGTAAAGTCGGAGTCGCCTCCACTAGGCATGGGGCGCGTCCCACCAGCGTGACTCCCCGTGGAGTACGAGTTTCATGGGGATCACGAGACTCGATTTCCAGCTGTCTCGTGACATTTGTGCCAGGATGATGGCGATTTTGCAGAGATGACGGGTTTGTGCCAAATTCGCAGGTCAGGTCAAGCTCGTCGGATCCCCGTTCAAGCTTGAGAGCCAAGACGGCTTGGCCGAGGCACGCTGGCGCCAGGCCGGATAGTCGCTTCCTCCGATCCGAGAAGTCGGAGGCACTGACCCGTAGTGTTCGCGGTATGAGCATGTCATGACACACTCTCATAAAGCACTCCTTGATGCATGGCTGGACTACGAAGTCTCAATCGAAAGCGATCTTATCGTAAGGGTCTCATGTCATAACCCTAGAGACATGACGACAGCATCTGCAGGCTGCGCAGTGCGAGCATCAATGCGGGGGATCGACGCAAGCCACAATGTTCCCGCCACTGTCTGCGAGGTCACGAGCGACACAGCATCAGCTGAAGGGCATGCGCACGCAGCACCAGGTCTACCACGGAACACAGTACGCGCTTGACATGTGAATGACGAGCCCTGCCCCCAATCTAATAATGGATACATTCAATGCGCATATACCCTCGCAAGCGACTGCGACCTTTCCTCGCCATTAGCAGAAAGCAATGATGGCCAGGCAAGCGACGTCCCTCGACCTGG